GGGAGGTGGAGGCAAGAGACTCGTTTGAGCCCAGGAGTTGGAGGTTGCTGTGAGCTGTGATGCCATAGCACTCTACCCAGGGGAACAGCTTAAGGCTCTATCTCAAATAAATAAATAAATAAATAAACATATAAGCATTTAAGTACCTATTATATCAGACAAAAACCTGAACACAAAAAGGAATACTTATTGATTTTGGAAAGGTAATCATATCCTGTAAGGATCCTGTGAACACACATCTGGGAAGCTACAAAACTGGAAAGCAAACTCATACCCATCTGGTTTTAAAACCTATGTTCTTTCACCTATACTAATTATCACATCTGCTTTGCATTTAATTAGCCTCTGGCACTGTCTTGGTCTGTCTTAGCTAAAATTGCCCATATCCTTGCCAATACAAATCCCAGTAATTGTGAATATATAATTCAGTTACAGTTAGAGATTGACAAATTCGAGCAGAGGCTCATGATAAATGAGAAAGACAAGCCCAACTCCTCTAGAATAGCCAGCATAATGGGGAGAACAGAGAATATATTCTTTAATACTGACACACTGGGTCATGATCAGATACTGTGCTACCAGTACTTTGGCTTAAGAGTTCATAATTAACAGTATGTACAAAGCCTAAAATACATGTGAGGCAGGAGTGTGTTTGTATGTCTGATAAGGTTGTTAAAAAGGAGTAGACCAAAAGCCCCATGGACATACCTTGGCTGATTATCAGCAATCCATTTGCCTATAGAAATCAAGCGCTGCTGTCGTATTCGTCTCTGCTGACCCTCTTTGTCTCCTGTAATACCCTGGTGGCCTTTGGAAAAATCCAAGTTCCTAAAATTGACACAAGCACATATCAGGAAAATTAAACTACTAACAATTATCTTAGTAGACCCTCCATAGTTGACCACCTCCTTAAGTTGACCTAATTTTCACAGACCAGACATGCCCCACATGTACGTATCAGTACAGCAGGCCTAGTTCCATGTGCTGACCAGTATGTAACAGTCTCTCAGGCTGTTGACAGGCAGTCAACTTACAGAGGTTCACTGCAACAGCACTGGCTTCAGATGTTGCCCACACAGGTTAGCAACGTTCTGTAATCAACATTTGTTTGAATTTATACTCCCAAAGATTTTACACATAATGAAATAAAGCAGAGAAAAAAATATACAAGTTCATTACATAAATCTAATTATTTTTTACTTATATATTTTACTTTATAGTTGAGGAGCTCAAATAAATCACAATCTTTTATTAGGAAAGATTCTTTTAGCATATTAAGAAGGAAGTTTTATAAACATCTAGCATTCTAAGGAATTTGCTTAAAATGGCTGTGGGAATACTAACAGAGCCTATTCTAAAATAAGCAGCATTAATCTACTTACTTTAATGTGGCAAATTCTAAATCAGAAAAATGTATAAATACCACAAAGTATATAGAGCAAAACCAAAAAACCCAAAATTCATTGACATCAGAAGGGTAAATCAACCTAAAAAATAAGGACTTTTCAGATTTCTACTTTGGTCATGTAGATGGATAATGCCACAGACACAAGAAACATAGAAAGCCAGAAGTAGTGGCTGATGCCTGTAATCACAGTAGTTTAGGAGGCTGAGGCAGGAGGATAACTTGAGTCCAGGAGTTGAAGACCAGCCTCGGCAACATAGTGAGACTTGGACTCCATAAAAAATTTAAAAATGATGAGTTTGAGGCTACAGTGAGATGTGATCCCACCACTGCACTCCAGCCTGGGGAGCAGAGTAAGACCCTGGCTCTCTTTGAAAAAGCAAAAACCCCCCAAAACTCAAGAAGTCCCAGAAATACAGAACAAAGATTGTTTTTTTGCTGACCAAACACAAGATCATGCTGAAGTATAAAATCCATATGGGAGGTCAGACTATTCGAATATGGTTCCAAACTCTTAAGAGAAGTCAGAACTGGAAATCTGGGACTTCCTATCCAAGAGACATAGGGATGTGTGTGAACACCAGGGAGAATGTAGACCATGGGACAAAAAGGTAAAAAAAGAATAAGAATCCTGGAGAACACAAAGAGACATGTAGTTTAAAAGAAATAGTGAAAAAGAGTGAGTGCTAAAGGCAGGAAAAGAATAGTGTCACAGAGCTAAGGAAAAATGTTTCACGAAGGAAAGAAAGCAACAGACTTAATGGTGAAGAAAACTAAATAGGATGAAATTATAAAGTTACTAAATCCGGTATCTAGAAGGGCAGTGATCAATAGTTTAAGTTGCATGATAGGCTGAGAAATGACTTGCACTTGAAGTAGAGTCACTAAGGTTAGTCTATACCACTTTTCAAAAGCAGTTTGATGATGAAGAAAAAGATACACATAAGGCAAAGATGGGTATGTGAATTTTATTTTACCTGTCTAAAAAAAAAAGAAGTACATTACTAGGCTAAAGGGAAATAACAGGACAGAAGGAAACTAGAAATACCAAGCAGAGAGGATAACAGAGCAAAGTAGGAAGGGATGGGACCAAGGGTACAGACAGAGGTTTAGACTTTAATTCCCATTACACAGGCAATACAGGCATAACATGCACAAATCCGTTTCATGTCAACAAACTTCCACTACTAGTTACTATTAGGAAAATAAGATACCATTGGGACAGATCAAAGGTTCCTCTCCACATAAGTCTGATACCTATTCATTTTAATACTGTATAAAATCAACCTGCTTCATCTGCCACCCACCTGAAAGAAGGTCTCAAAGCCAAGAATCCTTGTAACTCAAATTCCTCTGGAAGTGGTGTAGCTACAGAAGGGTGGAGATCAAAATTTGCAAACATTTGAATTAAAATACTGTTGTTTGGTAGAATACTGCTTACTAAATTAAAAAACAAATACCATTTTTAAAATAAACATACAGAAAAGAATGAACTATAATGCTGACACCTCTGTTGTTCTTTATAGCAATCCTGATGAAAATGACTAACCTGTCAAAACCCTGCATGTTACCCTTGGAGCCTAGACATTCCCCCTACTATCCAATGCCCACAAGGATTGATTTTGCTGTCACCCTGGGTAGAGTGCGGTAGCGTCATAACTCACAGCAATCTCAAACCCTTGGGCTTAAGTGATTCTCTTGCCTCAGCCTCCCAAGTAGCTGGGACTACGCCTGCTACAACGCCCAGCTATTTTTTGTTGCAGTTGTTGTTTAGCTGGCCCAGGCTGGGTTTGAACCCGCCACCCTTGGTGTATGTGGCTGGCACCATAACCACCATGCTATGGGCGCTGAGCCGACCTTTTTTTTTTTTTTTAATCAGCAGTCTTAAAAATAATCATAGCCTTGAATCCAGTGATCCCAATGTTTAGATTAGCAATATCGTTTTACTTAATGCATTAAGTAACAATGACATTACCTAGGAGCTTGAGAGAAATACATAATCTTGGGCATTATCCTACATCCTAAGTCTGAATCATCATCTGTATTTTAACAAGTAATGTATTTGCAAATTAATACTTGGAGAACACTGATCTAACAGATTAAGAGAAGAAAAAAGTTAAGCTACAGGTTGTTCAGTGCAACACTATTTATAATTGATAAATTTTTAAGAAATAGAGAGTAAGTAAACAGATTGTGGTATGTACACAGGATGGAATGTTATAAAGCCAGAAATAATCATGCTTTCAAAATGCTTAATGACAAAAGAAAATGTTAACAATATAACACTAAATTTCAAAAGCAGGCACACAGCTATATCTGATACTGACCATTTCTTATTTGTATGTACATGTAAGTAAAGGCTTGAAAAAGATGTACCATCATATGAATAGTAAAAAGTATTTTTTACTCTCTCTGTATGGGAGAACTACGAGTGATTTGTGTTCCTTATGTTATATGTGTCAAATTATCTATGATAAGCAGGCATTACTTTGATGAAGCAATTTTGTATACGTTAATCCCTTTTTTATAAAATAGAATGAGAAAGGGAAAAAATACAAAGGTATTTTATTCTCTAGTCTCTTATTCAAATGTAGCTAAATAAAAATAATACCTAGGAAAACAGTATCTCTGCTTTCACTCAAACAGTGCAGAGCTCAAAGACACTTCTGAGACAATGAATTTAAAGTCACATACTTATCACCAAAAACCTATTTGTCTCTGGCCTTCCTTCAACCCTTCACTGGTGACAGAGAACCACAACAATGACACAAGGTTAGTGCAGCCCTTACCATTAGTACTGGAGAGATCTTCTTCATGTGGATGGAAACTATTCAGAAGAGAAATTAGCCAGGGCCAAATGCTGTAAATCAAAGGAATAGTCTCGTCTTTATTGTCATACAGGAGAAGCTGGAACGCTGACAAGCCATAAAAATGATACCTCTAGGTCCTGGATTTTATGAATTTTTCCCTTCAGGATTTTAGAAGCTATATATTCCCTATAACTTATGTTCAAAGATACCATGATAATGATAAAGATATGCTATAAGGATTGAATTTCCATAACAGAGATCTGCAGATGATTTCTCAGCCTCTTACTTTAATAGTGAAAATAATTTGTCAGTTTTAAACAATAAAAACTGGTATTTACTGGGAAAACTCTGACTAGGGAAATAACGTATTGTTTTTACAGAGCCTTCATTTATATTATCAGTTGTGGAACTCACTGTTAGTTCTTTAATCTGTAACAGGGTATTGTTAAACCACCCTCAAATCACAGTCTCTGTTCAAAGCAGTAACAATGCCTTCTTCTTCATGGTCCAAAAAGTCCACATTGTTAAAATAGCCCAATTTGTGCACAACTTTTGGGAAAGCTTATATATGAAATATTAGAGCATATACTTTGCATTATTAGGAGGTGAGTTATACATATGTATTTGTTAATTGTGTTACTAAAGTCTTTGGTTCCTGAGTGAGGTATGTTAAAAACTGTTACGGATGTAGATATATAAATACAGTAGAACCTCTATAAGTTGACCACCCAAGGGACTAAAACAAACTGGTCAACAAACAGAACTAAGCCTACTGTGCTAACACATACATATGATGCATGTCTGGTCTATAAAAATTAGGTTAGCTTAAGGTGATCAATGTTAGGGAAGTAGTCAACTATGGAGGTTTTACTGTATCACTTTACATGTAAACATTAATATGAAAACCTCTGCTATATTTCAAAAATTAATCTAGAAATCTAATGTAATATTTATGACTGGGTAAGTTTTTTGTAATGGACACAAATACAATTGGTTTGAATGTTTATTTGCTGAGGCAGAGGACAGATGTGATGTGAGGTGAAAATGGTAATGTTGGTTAATCTAATTTTGACCTGAGAATACAATTCCTTTAATTTTTCTATAACAAATTCATCTATCTAATCATGCTTTACTTAAGGTAATATTAAGCTTATTTTTAAATATATATTAATCTTTATGAAAAGCATGATTTAAGAGAAAAAAGTGTGGGATAAGGTATCTAAGATTGAGAAAATGGACACAATCACATCAAAAAAATTCAAAGCTAGGGTGGCACCTATGGCTCAGTGGGTAGGGTGCTGGCCCCATATACCCAGGGTGGCGGGTTCAAGCCCAGCCATGGATAAATTGCAACCAAAAAAATAGCCGGGCGCTGTGGCGGGCGCCTGTAGTCCCAGCTAATCGGGAAGCTAAGGCAAGAGAATTGCCTAAGCCCAAGAGCTGGAGGTTGCTGTGAACTGTGATGCCACAGCACTCTACTGAGGAAGACAAAGTGAGACTCTGTCTCTTAAAAAAATAAAAAAAAATTCAAAGCTATTTCTGACCTTGTGCACTCTAAAATTCTGAAATATGAGAAAATGCTAATTTAAAAATATTCACAAATGTATGTAGAAAAAATACACAAAAAATATATAAAGTATCGGCCGCCGGGCGTGGTGGCGCACGCCTGTAGTCCCAGCGCTATGGGAGGCCGAGGCGGGTGGATCACCTGTGCTCAGAGGTTCGAGACCAGCCAAGACCCCCCTGAGCCAAACGAGCCAGAGTGAGATCCCGTCTCTACAACAACAACAGGACAACGAGACAGCCGGACCTTGTGATTCCAGCTCCATGGGGGGCAAGAAAATACTACAAGAGGAAGAAGTAATAAAAAAAAAAAATTAAAAAAAAAAAACCTTCAAAGTAATAAAGTTGAAATAAAAAAAAATTTTAAAAAAACAAAACAAAAATATATATATATTTAAAGTATCAAGTCAAGTGTGGTGGCTCATGCCTGTAATCCTAGCACTTTGGGAGGATGAGGAGGACTGCTTGAGGCCAGGAGTTCACTGGCCTGGGTAACATAGCAAGACTGCTCTCCACAAAAAACAAACAAAAAATTAATGGAGTGTGGTGGCATGCACCTGTCATTTCAGCTACTTAGGAGAGGCTGAGACCAGATGATCACTTGAGCCCAGGAGTTTGAGGTTGCTATGAGCTATGACCTCACCACTGCAATCTAGCCTGGGTGACAGAATAAGACTCCATCTCTTAAAGAAAAAACAAAGAAAAGGAAAAGGAAAAAAAAAAAAAAACCATATATATATATATTACATATATACATATAATATTGAAGAATAAATGTCTGTTACAAATCTCTGGGAATATAACAAATTATAAGAGATAGTTTTTTTAAAAAAAAGGTAATCCTAGTATTTTGGGAAGACAAGGCAGGAGGATTGCTTGAGGCCAGGAGTTTGAGATCAGCTTTGAACAAGAACAAGACCCCCATCTCTACAAAAAGTACCATAGTTAGCTGGGGGTGATAGTATATGCCTATAGGACCAACTACCTAAGAGGTTAAGGCAGGAGGACCGCCTGGAGCCCAGGAGCTTGAGATTGCAGTGAACTATGATGACACCATTGTACTCTAGCCTGGGTGACAGAGTAACACTCTGCCTCCACAACCCCCACTGCAAAAAAAACACAACTTCAAAGGCATAATTCTAAACATCTTCGTAACTCTGATGGAAGAGGGAAAGAGTAAATCTCACTCACATACACATACAAAAAGGAAAAAAATGTTTGTAAATAAATAATACTATTTCTTCTGGCTGAAAACCCTTTGTTATGAAAAGAAATGAGAATGCATAGGGTAAGTCCAAAGGATCACTTTACAGGACCAACAACAAAACAAACAAAACAAAAATAGCAATTCCTGTTCATATGAAAACTCTTTAAGTAAGTGGTAAAACATAAAATTCTTTTACAACATTACTCATAAAACTTATTGAACCCAACACAATTTTGAGTTCAAAGTAACAAGAATAAAAAAACCATTTAGTTTGATTCTGTACAAGGAAGCAATATCTAAAAATCTGTGCTAACATTTAAAAGAAGACATAGAGTATGGTGTACTATGTTCCTAACTCTATTAATGGTGATGTCAAAAATCAGGGCTCTTAAGTGACAGAACAAAGGAAAGAGAATTATGAGGTAGAGGGATCACAGGGTTAGGCCCATTTTCTTTTCTTTTTGTGAGACAGATCTCACTACGTAGAGTGCTATGACATCACAGCTGATAGCAACCTCAAACTCTTGAACTTAAGCAATTCTCTTGCCTTAGCCTCTCAAGTAGCTGGGACTAAAAGCACCCGCCACGATGCCCCATTTTTTTTTTTTCTGTAACTGTCATTGTTGTTTATCAGGCCCAGGCTGGGTTCAAACCCACCAGCCCCAGTGTATGTGGCTGGTGCCCTAACCACTGAACTACAAGCACTGAGACAACAGGTCAGGCCATTTTCTATGTTGTGATCTTGGACAATGTTTACATGCTGAACCACACAGCAGAAATTTCAAAGAGTTTCTCCTTAAATCCATCATCAACATACGCAGGGGAGGAAATTTCCTACTCACAAAGCTATCTTAGAAGTAATTATTTTTATAATCAAAGGTAAACTGGAAGTTTTCATTTGTCACTCTAAAATCAACAGTTCCTAAGAGCTGTCAGGATTACTGAGTAGAGATAACAGAGAAAATGGAAGAGAATCAAAACTTTCACTCTTCTATACTTAAACAAATTGGGTGTTTTTGTAAGGCAGTATCAAATAGTTTATGTATAGAAAATAATGAAAGAAATGAGTATCTCTTCCCTCTGATGCCTAAACAGAAAATTGGGGCAAACTGTATTGGATTAAGAAGCAAACTAATTTTTACTTCAAGTACAGCTTGAAACGTGAAAAATGCCTTTCCCTAAGATAGCAAGTGGGAACAGGGGCATGCACAGGGAGTCCCAAATCCTGAAGACTCTTCTTCCAATAAAGAATCCAAATAAATAAATGGAAAGCATACAAAGAGGTCTTTAGTTCAATGTCTAGGGAGTAGGCAGAAAAAAAGTATTCCATTGTTCAAATGCTGTGTTTTAGAAGGCAGTTTTTATATATCCATGTGTATTAAACAAACCACATAAGTTAATATGAAATTCTAAAAACACTTACTACTGTCTTTCATCCACCACTGTCTCCTGAAAGACCCTGGGTCTGAGTCTCAGCCAGTCCATGGAGACCTTGACTGCAGGAAGAGGATAGGCATTGTAGGATTCCTCCTGAGACTCGTTCTGGAGAGGGTACTTGCACAGGATGCCAAGAAAAGACACTTGAAGGAAAAAAAAAAAAAAAACCAAAACTTGTATTCAGAAAGCATAAGATATTTGAAACTGTGTATCAGTTCAAATCAAAACACTATAATGTATCTTCTGCTATATTCCGTTTACCACTTAAGTATCTTATAAGCTTCTTTCTAAAAAAGGCATTTTATTTTCCTATAAAAATGTTATAGATACAGTTGATGAGGGAGTGTCAGCACATAAAAGAATCAAATTCGGGCTTTCGGTCTCCTGATTCAATATTAAGAAACATAAGATACTCCCTTTTTTTGAGACAGGGTCTCACTTTGTGGCCTAATTAAGGCTCACTGCAATCTCAAACTCCTGGACTCAGGCAATCCTTCTGCCTTAGCTTCCCAAGTACGTAGGGCTACAAGTGTACACCACCACACCTGATTGATTTTCTTTATCTTTAGTAGAGATAGGGTCTCACTCCTGCTCAGGCTGGTCTTGAACTACTGACCTCAAGTGATTCTCCTGTCTTGGCCTCCCAGAGTGCTAGGATTATAGGTATGAGCCACCGTATTTGGCCCTCAGGACATTTTTTTAATGTATCACTATGTTTTGCTACATTGATGAAAATGCCTGAGATTATGATTTTCAAAGATGGTACATGTGAGAATTAGATGATTACTCACTAAAGAGGGCCAGCAACTGTGTCCAACATAGCTGTTCATCTTGACTATAACTATGCTGTTCTGTTTCATTGCTAAAGTCACGAAGGTGATGAAGTTGAAAAAGGTTAATGACAGTGACATGAACTAACTGCTGAGAGTTGAAAGCTTTTTGGAATAGCAGCCTCTGTAAAAGAAGACAGAAATACTGCATGTTTATTAGGAATAGGAACCATCTTTGACACAAGAATTAAATCGACAGTTTGCAATTAGAACCATATACATAACAGAATGTACAGGTAAGTGAACTGTTTCACTCTTAATCTCCCTATTTTAATCAGATCTAATGTTTCCCAAGCTGTCCTGAAAGGAATTAATTCAGATATTACAGACTGGTGGAATTTTTTTCCCTAAGAAACTACACATTTTTTAATATGACCTGAGAAAAATGTTTTGGGGGATTCACTCATAATTTATACATCTTCACCCATTAGAAATTGTTTTATAAGATATATTATATATATGTATATATATATATATATATATTAAATTGGGGCCAATGACTAGAAAGCAGATGTATGAGGTTGGACAATTAAGTTCATGAACTCATCCTAGAGAAAGGACTAGATTGCCTCCAAGTAAAATACTTTTGAAATCAAAGTCCTTAACAAAGTTGATAGCTACTAAAGATTTTTTCCTTATTTTACTTCATACTTTAGCCACAACCAGCCTACCTACCTTCCCAGGAAAAATTTTTGCAGATAGCAGGGATTCACTGTCACTAGCCTTATCAAGGGAAATAGGTGACCCTTATAGTTCTATCAGTAGTGACGAGATGCTGCCATCTCAGAAATTTATAGTTGCCTTTGCTCAGACTATTCTGACATTTTTGTTTTTATTACTTAAAGAATCTGAAATAACCACAGTAAATTCTGTGATTCTAATAGTAAAATCTTTCACATTGTAATTAGAGAAAAACATAGTTGCATTCTACTTTAATTTTGTTCTTTCTATCACACTCTCAGACTTCCTGCAATCTGCTATTGCTCTACATTCATCTAGAATGGTTAGCCCTTTCCCAATGGCATTAAACATTTCACTTCCTTTCCTCAAAATTTCCTGAAATCCTATCTCTTCCCACAAAATTGCTCCTTCAGTTTCTATAACTAAACTTCTAAATAAGCTGATCATTTACACAAATGCATAGTATTAGCATAAAATGAGAGTATTTCTATTTTTCAAAAAACATTGTTTCTTACAAAGATAATATGGTAATGCATTCCTTATAGCTATAAATCCACTTTAGAAGGCAATGTCCTACGGGCTTTTCTAGTGTGTGCACAGAAACATTAATGCATATGAATATTACCTAGTATTTTTTTTAATTTTGCTTTCAATTGTCTCACGGAGTCTTACTTTGTGGCCCTCGGTAGAGTGCTGTGGCATCAGAGCTCACAGCAACCTCCAACTCTTGGACTTAAGCGATTGTCTTGCCTCAGCCTCCCAAGTAGCTAGGACTATAGGTGCCTGCCACCATGCCTGGCTTGAATACTGCCTTGAATACTGCCTTGTATTAACAGAAGATAATGTAAGTTCATGAAGGTACAGACTCTGCCTTGTTCTCCTGTACATCTCTAACAGTCTAGAAAAGTACGTGGTACATAGTAGGCATAATAAATTCTTAAAGAATAACCTGTACCTTTAAAAGTAAACATGAAATTATTCAGTTGTAATTTCATAAAATTTAAATTGTTTTATATAGTAAGAGGACCTCTTAGGGAATAAAATCAGATTAGAACTGACGTGTTTTTGCCACTTACATTTTCAACTGCAGCTAAAGGATATATTAAATTAAATATCACTAACAGCACACATTTAATAGATACAAGACAGTCTGCGTCTCAATTCCTAAATAAGGTTTCAAATAGATCTGCCTCACACTATGATTAACTTTACACAGTGTTAAAATGTTACTTTAAACTATGTATTTGTGACTGACCACCTACATCTTTCAGAACAACACATAAATACATATTTGAAGAAAATATTAGGGCCTGAGGTTGAACCAAAGACAAAACTAATGTTCTAGACTACAGTAACTTACAAAGTGAAGATTTCATTAAGGTAGAGACCCTCCCTACCACCCAACCAATTAGGGAGTTGGCTTTCATAGATCAGAGCGGTAAGCAATCTCAAGAGGTCATCTATCCCAACTCCTGCTGTTTATTTAGTTGAATTGTACCTAAACCATCCAAGAAACATGGCTGTCAATCCAACTCTGAAACACTCCAAAAAAAGAAAAATCCACAGATTCTCCCAGCAACCTGCTATGTATTTCGCCTGAAAATTTAAGATTTTAGTTCTGACCTCAGGAAAGAAATCTCTTTTTTTGTTTTTCAATCAAACAATCCTTCATATATCTGAATACTTACTATGAAACTACTTAGATTTGTTTTCTCCCAAGCTGAATACCCTAGGACATTAAAAAGTAAGCTGTTTTGTTCACACATCCAATCCCATAAATGAGATATGGGCTAAGTTTAAATAGGGCACTAAGAAACAGAAAACAGCAGGGGATTCTAAAAGCTTATTTTAAAATAAACTATATTATAATTATAATCTCTTAAAACATAGAAAGTAACAACTTAAAAATCCCTGAGTATACAGATACCCAGAAATAACCACGAAATATAAAATGTTCTTTAGAGACTGTCTTGTTTATTGTTGATCCCAGTGCCTAAAACAGTGACTAATACACAATAGACAAGAATTTCTTGACTAAATGAATTTAAAATACAGGTAATACTTAATTTTGACTCTCTCATTTTATATAACATACTATGTTTAAACTGCTGCTTTAACATATTAACAAAAAATTACTTTCATATATAGAAATAGAACAAAAGTTACTTAGTTTTATCTCCTTACACAAATTAGTAAAGTATTTTCCTGGTAAATGAAATTCTCATTCCTTTTCTTCCAACTACCACAAATTCTAATGAATAAAAGCACAATAAAAATAATGAGCTTGGTTTGCTAAACAGCAGTCTATTAAGTAATGAATCTTATTGAAGAATGCAAAAACCATCAAAAAGTAGTACTTTCAAAACCGAGGAGTTATTACCTTTTTTCCTACTTTGATACCTTCTGCCAAATGGCAGCTAGTCAGTGAAAATACAGGCTGTACTATACTTCTTTATGTGTGCCTATGTGTTGTATCTCAGTTTAAATTGAAGGGATGTTGCATGTAAGAATTTCATATGCAACCTGGTCTCTAACCTTACAAAAGCAACCTATGTAACCTAACCTTGTATATTAACACCATAGTAATCTGAAATAAAAATTTGTTAAAAAGAATTTTATATGCTTCAAATTTAATTTTTACTAATAGTTCATAGTTAAGTAATGACATAAAAACTAGGAGTCAGTTTCCTCTAAATCTTACGACTCTTGATTTAGATAAACATTCTCTGTTTTTGAAATCTAACCTTAAATTGTTCTTCCAACTTCTCTCGAAGAGGGCTCAACTTTTCCAAGCTTTTACTCAGGTACACGTGACCGTGGAATTTAATAAAGGCCTTGATGAAGTCAGAAACACCCCACTTGGTTTTCACCTCATCCCGGCTGAAATGAAAAAAGAATTTCCATGAGTCTTCAGCAGTAAAATAGCTAAAACCATTTCAAGAAGGCATTGGCTTGCAAAAACATGTTATTTGAGCACCTGATACACAAGAAGATTCTGCATCTAACTTTTGAACTGCAACACATTCAGGTGAGTCAGTATTAAGCAGCTTATGTCTTTTACTGGAAACAAATCATACTCCAGTTGGAAATTCAGTAACTATCCACAAAACTATTATGATATATCTATAATGTTTAGAAATAAGGGAAACACAGATAACTGGCCATAATTTCTTATAAACCCAAATATAAGATCTTAAGGGTTTAGGTTACATAAAATCCTCTTGGAAATAAGCCAATCCTACCTTTCCAGTGCTTTAGAAAGTGCTTTTTGTAGATTGGTGGAGGCAGCTGGGAAAGGGAACTTCACAGCAATGCTTCTGCAGTAGTAGAAAATTGTGGTCAGATGGTCTCCTTTGGAAGAAGCTAAGATAGCCAACTGATTGTAAGGCTGACCTATAGGAAAAAGTGAAGATTCTTTTTGCTATCAGTGTACCAATGATCAGTTTTTAAATCCTCAAATTAACAATGGGGACTATTTTATAAGACAAATCTTATGATTACCTCATTACAAATTAATATAATGTAAAACAACACACTTCACTTTTACATAAGTTAAAAGGCCTTATAATTACAGTGGAGAGCACTACAAGTTCAAATAAGGCTTCAGAAAAGGCTAGATAGCATTTTGAACTTTATGGGCTAAAGGTCTCTATCACAACTACTCAACTCTACTATTATATTGTGAAAGTAGTGATAGACAACTTGAAATGAATAGTATGGCCAAACTGCTGTCCCTGCTTTAGTTGCTAGAGTCTAAAGAAATTTCAATGTGGCTTAAAAAAAAAAAAATGATTTATATCATCAAACATCTACTGTAATTACTTCATTTGTTTTACTTTTCTTTTTTTTTGAGACTGAGTCTCACTTGGTCACCCTCAATAGGTAGAGCGCTATTGTGATGTAGCTCACAGCAACCTCAAACTGTTGGGTTCAAGCGATCCTCTTCCCTCAGCCTCCTAAGTAGCTGGGACTATAGGCACCCACCACAAAGCCCGGCTATTTTTTAGAGACAAGGTCTTGCTCTTGCTCAGGCTGGTCTTGAACTTGTGAGCTCAAGCAATCCACCCACCTCAAGTGCTGGGATTATAGGCGTGAGCCACCGCGCTCAGCCCTGTAATTACTTTAGAATTACTGCTAATTCCTATTTTAGGGCCATCAAAAGACAAAAGCATTTTTAGGTAACACATCATTTTTCTAGGAGGAAAAGGGCAGTATTTAAAGAAATAATTATACTATAAGTAATTAAGGATGACAAGAGTTGTAGAAACAATATTAGATTAAATTTAGGAAAAGTCTATTTATATTATTTTACTGAAAATAAGGAAAAATGATGCACAATACCAAAACTCAGTATTTATTGCTTTCATAAAACCTGAATGGTGAGTCTTGAGTTATTTGCCATATTGCTATAAAGAACAAAGTGTCATGTTTAACCCCTAGTTGACAGGTCCACTCACCATTGGAGGGGACAAGCTGAGCTGCATGCCTATAGTAGGACTCTGCCTGGCTGGTCTGGTTTCTGTATCGAGCTAAGAAGAAATAAAAATTAGTTTAAAAACAAACAAATAAACAAAAAATCCAGTAGGTCAGTATTTCCAAAACAGCTACAGTTTTCTTTAAATTCATTAAAGTTATTTCAAGATTATTAAAGACAGAAAAGCCTTTAAAACAAATTAACTATAGGATTATGTGTGAGGTGTCCGTTGGCCTTCCCTGTTATGGACATCCAGCATGTAACCAATGTTAAAGCTTACCTAGCCCCCATTTTCAGGTCCTCCAGTGTCATGCATCACCAGCTCTCACTATGGACTATGCTGGTGACCTGGAGCCGGCCCACAAGAAGGGGTGAGTTATATGGCACTTAAAAACAAAACAAAATAAAAACCACTATACAATATGATCTGAAAATTATATATTTCTTTTTCTATATCTTATAATGTGATTTTGAAGAATCCCTCATATCTACTGCAATATTAAGTATGCATGTGGAAAAAATACATTTAAGGCCAAAACAATCTAAACATACTATCACTGACTCTCCCTGCTGAACTCACTGCTTACTTTGATTGACCCCCCCCCATGGAGTCACGGATTTGACATTAAGAAACTTAAAAATTTTAAACTTAAAAGCAGCAACATTCTCCATTCCTTGTTATTTGAGGACAAGCAAAACATAATCCTATAGTTAATTTGTTTCATAACCCTTTTAGGTCACCTTAAAGGAATGAACAAGAATAAGTAAGTTATATAATATTCCCAGATAAAATATATATAATGAAAATGAAAATTTAACTTTAAAAAGGAAGCAAAACTAAAAGTGAGCTCACAGTGTATTGGTAAGAAGGAAAGTAGGCAATCTAGCTTCAGAAGGAGTAATGAATATACCCCATTTATTCTAAAAAATGTACATTTAATTTAGAAAATATTACGGCACCACTCTGAAAATTTAGACTTGATTATAATATTTTTGCTATTTATTTGCCTACACTTGCATAAAGTCTGAATAAAAGTTTTTTTTTTTTTTTTGAGACAGTCTTACCCTCGGTAGAGTACCATGGCATCACAGCTCACAGCAACCTCAAACTCTTGGGCTTAAGCAATTCTCTTAAATAAAGTTAAATCTTAATATAAAACTTAACTTCTGGCTCGGCGCCTGTGGCTCAAGCAGCTAAGGCGCTAGCCACATACACCTAAGGTGGCGGGTTCAAATCCCCAGCCCGGGCCACCAAACAACAATGATGGCTGCAACCAAAAAAAAAAAAAAATGGCCAGGCGTTGTGGCGGGTGCCTGTAGTCCCAGCTACTTGGGAGGCTGAGGCAGGAGACTCGCTTGAGTCCAGGAGTTGGAGGTTGCTGTGAGCGTGATGCCATGGCACTCTACCCAGGGGGATAGCTTGAGGCTCTGTCTCAAAATAAATAAATAAATAAATAAATAAAAATAAAAGTTAACTTCTTTTAAGATCCGCTGGCAATCACAAAATATTGAGAAATTCTAAGTTTCCTAAAATACATTTTATAAATTTTTTGTGCATGTTTAGCTTAAAGGAAGAGTTTCCTTCTATGACTACTCCAAAGAAAAGAGTAGAAGTATTATCAATTCCTCCCGATCAAACGCTCACCAATGTCTCCAAGGTGGACGAGGCAGTGCTGGCAGATATAGGAACAAGAGCTAGACTGTGGCTTCACTATGGCGCTGGTATGCGTCTGTTTATTGCTGATAATTCCCAATTGGGAAGACTTCACACGGCATGGTAAATCTACATTAAACACTGTACACAGTTCTTGTAATAACTAAAAGAAAAAAATGAACAAGATTTAGTAGTAAGTCACAACTGGTAAGTTGGAAATGCTCTAACAGAAATGTTTGTACAGTATGAGGTATCTACCTAGTATCAAATACTGCTCAGACCTGAGAACTATATGAAAATTACTATTATTATTTTGAGATAGAGACTTCCTCTATTACCTGGGCTAGAGTGTAGTGGTGCAATCATAGCTTGTTGCAACCTAAAACTCCTGCTCAAGTGATTGCCCTACTAGCCTCCTTAGTAGCCAGGACTATAAGCATGGCATTATGCCTAGCTTTTCTTTCTTTCTTTTTTTTTTGTAGAGATGAGGGGTCACTCTCTTGCTCAGGCTTATCTCAAATTCCTGGCCTCAGGTGATCAATCTGCCTTGGTCTCCCCAAGTGCTAGGATTATAGGCATAAGCCACTGTACCCCACCTGTATGGAAATTATATGGTAACTATTCATAGTCTAACTACTATCATTCATTATTAAGTCCTATCTTTTGAATTCTCAAGTATTACAGCAATCTATGATGTGCATTTAAAAGGAATACCAGCATTTTAAAAAGAGACTATTTACCCAAATACGATTTTCAGGCAATTCAGCAAGCAATGATAAGCAAGAAATTCCATGAAATTATGTATCTACTCTCAGCAACACACAAAAATTATTAAAGACTGGATGGTTACAATTTAGACTTAAATGCAAGCCAAGGCATTTATTAGACTTCTACAATTTCTTTTCTTTCTCTCTTTTTTTCTTTTTGCAGTTTTTGTCCGGGGCTGGGTTTGAACCCACCACCTCCGGCATATGGGGCCGGTGCCTTATTCCTTCGAGACACAGGTGCCGCCCAACTTTTACAATTTCTTGATATTTATTTTCTAAAGATGTGTGACAACTCTTTCCAAATACAATGAACTTCACAGTACTACAAACCTTATCTAGATCACCCATTCTGATTTCCTCTTTCCTATTTTATAGTCTGAGGGGCTCTTCCCCCTAGTCAGAGCTAACCTCTTTGCCCAACCTGCCTGGTATCTCCCAGCCCCTGCCATTCTCTCTCTACTTTCAGCCTCTTATGCTTCTTTCCTGTGGTCTATACGTATCAAGTGTTTCCCTCAAAAAACAAAAAGAAAAAAACAAAACACCACTGAAACACTCTCCCTTGATCCTAGATTCCTATCTAGCAACCTTCAAATCTCTCTTCCCACCCCAACATCTACCACCAATCTACTGAAACTATCAATCAGTTACTTAATAGCCAAACACATGGACATTTTTTAGTTGTCACTTTATTGTTCCTCTCTGCTGCATTTTAAACAGCTGCTTATGGTTGATGACTGAACTTTTCTACTTCTATTTCTCCAACCCATTTCTTTTCAGTTTCCCTCATTCAAATGCTTTTCACCTCCCATCTTGCTTGCCATGGGGTTAATTCTTGGCTTCCACATAGTTTTTCACAGTGTATCCTAACTTATTCCAGTATTTATTTATAGATATATTCAAATATTACTATATTCATTCAAATATTTGGCTACTATTTCAGATACATGGTAAGTAAGAGAGATACAAAAATGAGTAAAAAAATCTGTATCCTAAAAAGCTTGTAGCCAAATAAGCAAGTCAGACACAAAAAGAACAAGGAAAAGGGGAGAAGTATATGGAGAGGATAAAGGGAAAAGAAGAAAGAGGAGGGAGAGCGAAAACATGATACATAGCATAAGCCAACAGAATAGTCTATGCTTATAGTAACTTCATTACCTAGCTTATTCAATACATTTGTCTCCCTTTATCCTTGTTATAAATTAGCAGGAATATAGTATATGTAGGTATGAAATGCCATTTTTTCAGATAAAGATATAAAAGCAGCAGAAATAATCAAGTGATTAAAAATACTTTGATTCTATCACATACAGAATTCAAAATATAAAATAAGATACCCTACGATAAAAACCACTTTCATAACTGAATACAGATTCTGCACACCCTTTCTCATTAAGCACAGGAAGTATCCACTTCATCTTTGTTTCTACCTGTAAAAGGCAAGATATTTGCAGATGTAAAACTGTATGAACAAGTTAATGCCCCAAATGCTTAGAGTTAAGAAGCAGAAAAGGAACAAAATACAAGAAAGGAGTAAAAATAGAGAAGAAAAAAAGGCAGACAACTGTGGGAGATGGCAAGAAGAAACATGAGAAGACAAAGAGTTCGCTAGGTACTGAAAGAACAGACTAGAAAACTAGACAAGACTGAGTATCTAGCAAGGTGAAAACAGTAAATCAAACATGATTGAAACATCATGGAGAATGTCTGATAAAACTATATCCCACCTTTATTTTATGTAGGCTGACCCTGACGTGCTTTAGTCAGGTAATGGTTTCCTAAATTTAGATGAGTAAACTGACAAGAAGTTAAGTTACTTCATTATACAAGTACTGAGCAGGAGATACTCCTAAGGCTACAGCTTTATAATTAATGGCCCTTGTTCTTCCCAAACTCCAATCATAAAACTGTAAAACTGGAAAGACAATCTCTGAGCATCTGTCCACTCTATTCTCACTATAAGAAAGCTAAGTGCCACAGAAGTCAGAGACAAGCTCAGTCACAATTAGCAATAGAGCAGTTATTAGAAGAGTTTATGAATCCCTATTTATTAAGTGATCTTTTATTCCATATCTCCTCACCTCTGTTCTCTATGCCAAAAAACGAAGGATTAACTACAAAGGTACAGAATATCACCTTTGGACTATACAGAAACTTAATAATAATACTTTCTTTTTGGCTCCCCTTTTCTTAGAATAAAGACTACTGCTCTGCTCTTCGATGTTAAAAACAAACAAAAATAGTAACAACCAACTCTACAGCAGGATGGCAGAATGTTTTGTCTTTACTTTGACCAGAAAATTGGTTCTCACTCTCGAGGCCGAGGTGGGTGACTGCTTGAGCTCAAGAGACCAGCCTGAGCAAGAGCAAGACCCCATCTCTAAAAATAATAGCCAGGTGTTGTGGCAGGTCCCTTTAGTCCCAGATATTTGGGAGGCTGAGGCAGAAGGATTGCTTGAGTCCAAGAGTTTGAGGTTGTTGTAAGCTATGATACCGAGGCACTCTACCAAGGGTGACAATGTTAGACTTTCTCTCCCGCTTCTCCCCCCCCCCCAAAAAAATTGTTCTGCTTAATGTATTATGTTTTAACTAGTTAACAAAATGATAGCTAAGAAGTAAAACCATATTCACAGAAAATGTGACTGTAGATAACCACGTATCAGTTTCTTTCCAATCATATTGGAATCCACCCAATCCTACCGTTCTCCTGAAGTTACATTTTATCAAATCCAAGGATACCATAAATTGTAAGATGAACCATTATTTAACACAATACTGAGAGGAAAAAAAAATACCACTAATTACATGGTGACTTGCCATCTACTATAAACTTACCCCTTATTTCACAAATGTTAAAATATTTTTTAAAATGTTTTGGAAATGAAGAAATATGGTACTCATTAAGTTCACCAATAACTTCCATGTTATCAAATCTAATTGGTCACATTTTAAATCTTACTTGACCTCCCAGCAGCACTCAACCTGGTTGATTGCTCCCTCCCTCCTTATTTAAATGCTATGCTCTCAGCTTCTGAGGGACCTCTCTCTGTAATCTTCTCCTACCACAATAGTAACTTAAGCTAAATCTGTTCCCATCTGACTAAGTCAGGAACTCTTTACTGTAATCATAATATTTCCACTGGGCTCCAAACTTTTTTAACCAATTACCTACTTGACATCTCTACTATGATACCCAACAGACATCTAACAGACAAAATTGGTCTCCCCCTAATGTTCCCCATCTAAGTAAATGGCACAACCATTCAACTGGCTGCTCAAGCTGCTAACTTCTCCTTTACTGATTTCAAAAACCTAATCTAATTCGTCAGAATAAATCTTATTGGCTACACTTCTATCCACTTCTTTCCAGTATAGCAGCATCCTAACTAGCTTTCATTCCTGATGCCCATATCCAGAGTTATCTTTTCAAGATGTAAATATAATCATGTCACACCCTTGCTTGCTCTCCAAAGGCTTTAATCCTATACTTAGGATTAAAATCCAAAATTCATACTATTAGGTCATAAACTGATCTGGAATTTATTTCCTTCCTCAATCTGGTGGCTAAATCTGCATTGTGTGTAATCAAGAAAGATGTGTGGAACATTATTATTAGTAACACCATTAACTGAATTATTAAATTAAGACAATGTAAAAATGCCAAGTGAAAAGTCCTATAAAAGTTGAAATCTGATAAGTCTAAACTGTCATTAGGTATGAATAAATAAGTTTATTCACGCTTATTCTACAATTATCAGATTTGCTCGAACACTGCCTGTAAAATGCAAATAGGAGAGAATCAGTGCTTACTGTAAGAATTTCAAAAAGTTAATTTTAAAATTAAATTACTCATATATTTTCCCTTATAAAACCATTTGTGAGTCATTTAAGTGATTTTATTACTCATGTGTGTGTGTGTTTTTACAAATATCATGCCTCCTCATAAAAATAATGACTCTTGTGCTTTACTTACTTGCAAATTTGCTTTGATTTACCAATGTCTAGTTAAATTCTTAGAAGTGTGTCACATCATAAAGGGGTTAAGAATCATTTTTCAAGATGACAAACCAATCTATAGAATGGCTACTATAAAAATGTACCACAGGAAGAAGAACCTTTCTCTCTCCCTCCAAAAGAGCCAGCTGGGCCACCTTCCTCCTACTGCCCTACATCAGTCACAATCCCAGTTCTAGCTTCTATGCATAAGGGAAAGGAAAGAGATCTGAATCAGAAATTTTACGAATGACGTTTTAAAATTGGACTACACTTCAAACACTGAAAGCAACCAGAATATTACAGAATCTAAGTAATTATGGGAATCTGGGAATTTAACAGAGCATAGCTGAAAGCACTGCTTAGGGTGCGGGTGGGGGAGAAGGTTCCATTTTTGTTAATATCCCACTGAACTAAGACTACACAATTAACATAAAGCCAAATTTTATATATATATATGTGTGTGCATATATATATATATATATATATATTTTTTTTTTTTTTTTTTGGAGACAGAGCCTCAAGCTATCCCCCTAGGTAGAGTGTTACGGTATCACAGCTCACAGCAACCTCCAACTCTTGGGCTCAACCGAGTCTCCTGCCTCAGCCTCCCAAGTAGTTGGGACCACAGGCGCTCACCACAACGCCCGGCTATTTTTTGGTTGCAGTCGTCATTGTTGTTTGGCGGGCCCCACCCGCCGCCTTAGGTGTATGTGGCTGGCGCCTTAGCCACTCGAGCCACAGGCACCAAGCCAAAGCCAAATTATATGTATGTAACTTACATCATTATTTTTCACTATTTAATAACACAATTTTCTCATCTAAAAAAATTCATGAATATAATTTTTAACAGTTTCATGCTTCCATTTTACAGTTATACCATAATTTATTTAACTATTACTCTATTATAGGACATTGGTGTTGTTTTAAAGTGTTAAGATTTGAATTGTAACATCTGCTTTGTTCCTTTAAATGTGATTATTTTCCTAATTATTAAACATTAACTGATCTGTGAACAAAGGAAAAGAATTTATTGCAAAAAAATGCCTGATAATGTCCATACTTCAAAAAACTCTAAAATGAAAAGACAACAGCAGAAACTAGTGAAAAATGATACAAATGATGACCTTTTACAGAAACAATAATATCTATCAACAGTGTTTAAACTTTCCTCAATCACCTTTAATGATTTCAAATTGAGGAACTGGTCCTCAGGAAATAATCCAATATTAAAGAAAATGCTTCACACACAAAGATGATTTAATCAAAGTATTTAACCAGGAAAAACTTGTATTATGTTCATAAAGCAGATCCACCAAGACTGGATATACAGTGTGCTCTTACCTATGTAAAAAAAGTATAAAAAGACTAAAAGGATATATATTAAAGTTGTAATTTATCCTGACTGGGAGAATTAATGAATATTTTTTTGGTCCTTTTATAATTCTCAAATTTCTTGAAGCTAGTATGTCTATTAATACATCCATTCTTTCATTTAGACTGTGTATTTCCTTCAAGGTGAAGATTCTGCCTCAGTTTCCTTTATATCTTCAGTATATTGTATCTTATAAACAGTAGGCTATTTGTAAAATGAATTAATCTTTAACACCTTTTTTCTGTTTGTTTGTTTGAGACAGACTCTCACTATGTCGTCCTCCATAGAGTGCTATGGCATCACAGCTCATAGAAGCCTCCCACTCTTGGGCTTAAGCGATTCTCTTGCCTCAGCCTCCCAAGTAGCTGGGAATACAGGCGCCTGCCACAACACCTGGCTAGTTTTTTCTTGGAGTTGTCATTGTTGTTTAGCTGGCCCAGGCTGGGTTCAAACCTGCTAGTCTTGGTGCATGTGGCTAGCACCATAACCACTGTGCTATGGGCACTGAGCCTTTAACACTTGTTTTAAGGATTGGTTAGTGGCACACCGATCACTCTCTCCAGAAGTATCTCCTCTGCAGAAGTACCAACCTATAATGCTAAAAGGTGGCAAAAATTTGAAAATGAATTTTGAGAATAAATACCATACCTGAGTTCTTTGAATGGTGAACTGTGATGATTGTTTTAGTCTAAGTAAAACAAAATAATGTCTATACAATGATAGCTATTTGATATCTTTCAACACAGCAATTCTTTTCTTTTTCTTCAAAGAAATAGTAAAACCAAAATGAAGCCAAAATACAGGTAGCAATAGTCAAGAAACATGATAAAGAGAAATGTTCAAGATTTCTTTTAGGGTAAGTTCCTCAAAACCTTGTCTTAACATAAGATGCTAATATATATATGAAAATTTTATTAACTTATAAATGCTATGACAAATGGATAAAATGAAAATGTTCTGAAGAATTTTTCTGAGAATTGTAACGAAAATTCCATGATTGAAATTAAAATTTATTTATTCCTTTACCTTGCCTGATTTAGAATTTATGTCAGGATGGGACTAAAGGAAAGCTTCTGAGGATGACAAACAGCTTATTCAAAATGGAAAAAGCTATTCCATTTCTTAGGTAGTTTAATAACATTTTAAGATCCAGATAAATTCCACTGTATAAATACCATGAAAACTCACTTGACACTACAAATTTTAACTATTTCTTATTTGGCAGTATATAGCTGTTACTTTGATAATGGCTACACTCATACTTACAAATTTGCATTTGGTCTTATACCACTTCTGACTACTTCTGTTGTTTCACTAAGGCTTTGCTCTCACTACTCTTTTTCTATTCTTATAATTAAACTTCCAATGTTTAAGCCAAAATATTGACCTTTGGAAGAACAGAGCCTTTCTCTTCTTAAAGGTCTTGGGGGTAAACAATTTGGGACATTTGTATTCATTTGAGATTATAGGTGATGAACTCCTGTATGGCTCACATAGTAGTTACACACAGTGTTAACCTGAATAAAAGATATGTACAAAGAGCAGGTTATTTAGAATTAGTATTAGAAAAATTGTTATACAATGCAAAACTCACCTGAGTATAGAAGCCACTAGCTGCCTCTAGGAACAGAGAAAGGTTTGCCTGAACTTCACTCCGATTCGGGTTTGCTCGATTCTTTGCCTGGCCTTGTAGTGTTGTGATCTGATTCTTAAAGGCGTGATTCCAGCTGAAAACAAAATGTAATTCTATTTGGTATAGCAGTGACTCACTGGGCAGACACTGGTCCCCCTGAGAACAAGAAAGAACTGTTTGTTATAATTATACTACACTCGACAGTAAACCTGCATTAAAGTTATTCATTTATTTAAATAACTTCATGATCCCCTTTGAACAAAATGAGACATGTAGTAGAATCCAACTGTAGTACACTTAACAAATGTTCAAATGATCAAAATATTTCTTCAGCTGTTAATTGCAAAGCTAGAGTTAAGAGTCTATACAGTGGCAAAATCAAAGTAAAAATAAGCTATTAACAAATTTCTATATATTGTGCCAAAAATAATGGACTATACCCTAAGTGACAAGTACAGGGGTGGGGGAAAGATTTTGTAACTATTAAGCCACATCTCTTACTTCTGTAAAAGCTATTTCCCACAGCATCCATTCCATTCCTACTTAAGAGTTTTATTTATTTCTCTTGTGATTAACATTTTCTTTAGAGCTTGAAATATAAGCCACATTTCAACCTTGTCAATTTAAAATAAGAAACAACATAATGCTGAAATATGGCATGCCAAAATTGTGTTACAAAATGTCTTTCATTAATCAAATAATATAAAGAAATCAGTTTAAAATCAGTTATAGTGAATCAGTTTAGAATCAGTTATACAGTCATTCTCTATCTTAAAAACAATAGAGCTGGGGGGGGGGAAGAACTAAGATAAAGTGAAGATATTACTGGCTGGATAAAAGCAGCAAACACAGATGAAGGGTTTACAACCTACCTGGAAAGTACCTAATTCTTTATCAACATCAATTTTTGAGGCTCTAGAGCACAAGAAGTTTTTAATGATTTAGGAGGACAATCACTCCTTCAGCATTTTTGATGACATCTTATCCTTGGTTCTAATATCACAGGATAAGGATTTTGACTGGTCATGACTTAGCTCTATTACTAGATTTCCTAAAAATATAAAGTATTTAAGAAAGGTGTGAAAGATGGAAAAAACTAAACTTCAGTACAACTCAGGCTAATGGGCATTACTAGATAGAATACTCTTAACTGACTTAAATTTCTATCAAGCTAATGTCTGTTTCAACCACAAAACGTATTTATTTACTCACTTGGGAATCTGGTCATCTGCCATTTCACAAAGAACAAGTGGAATAGTCTAAATACACAAAATCTTTCTTTAGTTTTACTGGGGAAGAAAAAGGAAATGCTAATTTATTGAACTAAAAAGAAGAACTTTCCTTAGAATGCAAATAAATCTTCCTGTCCAAGAAATTCATAGTATCAAATTTACCAAAGAAAGATTTTTCTAAAGCCCACTCTTGAATTTTTTAAACCATGGCTTAAACATAAAGCTGCACACAAAGAATTCAAACATTCTTAGCATTTGAGGTATATTTTCCTGATATGCTATAAAAGAGCTGCCTTAATGACCTTAATAAGATTCAACTCTAAACATTTCTCCTCTTACCTCCAAAAACTGTATCTGAAATAATACCAAATATTAGAATTTCACTCCACTGAAAAAGCTTACTCTAAAATATGATTAAAAAACACATAACCAACCAAATTATTTCAAAGACTCAGTGAAACTGTTGATCTTACAGGGACATCCCAAATGTTAATACTTACAGATCCTGTTCTACTTTCTTGTCTAAAGCATATTCCAAATCGGTAACTAGCATTTTCTGGTACAGGTCCTGCAGAGCTTGCCTGGATGTCCAGACTTCAGCTGGACCCAGCTTAGAATCTGAGTAACAAAACACAAACATTACAGTAGATAGACAGATACAGACAGATAAAACCATTACACCACACCAAATATTCCTTCCTTCTCTAGTCCCTAAAGCAAAACCTGCTTTAAGTATATTCCATAGAATACTGCAGAAATTTCGTATCACTACATTTCAAATAATGACTTTCACCTTTTGGCTAAAGACTAAATTTGGTTTAAAATGCTTCTGTGCTTTCAGCTTTGGAATAACATCATACAATGAAAATGGCTAAAAAAAAGAATGGTTAGCCCTTTGGCTTCATTGTAAATTTCTACCTATTCACATCATAGGAAGCCATATGCCACATAGTAAGTCACTCCACCTGAAATAACAGACTGCCAAGTTGGTCGTTTATTCTGATTATCTCTTTTTCTGAAGAAGCTTTCTTCTCTTTTCTTTTGAATCATTCCTACAAATATCCTTACAGAATTCCATGTCAGCTCACTACCCAGCGGTTGCTTGAATATTCTGCTATTGTTCCAATAAAGCCATCACAGTGAGCATTATTATATTTTGCCGTGTATAATGGCCACCTTTGAGCCTGAATTTTTGAGAGAAAAATAAGGGTACACATTATACACGGGTAGTATGGCTTGGGAGTGGTGGAGCTCCTGTCTGGGCCTGCTGAGTTCACAGGGTTCCAGTCTAGGAGGATCTGGGATCTGGTGGAAGTAAGCTGGAGCAGGCCTCCAGCAAGTGCTGCCATCAGGGGAGGGGGTAGTGGGGGGGGCTGATGAGGAGGGCTGCAGTTGTGTTGGGTGAGCACTGAGGCCCAAGGTCCAGTTGCAAAAAGGGTACTGGGAGTCCCACATAGGCCCCAGGGACCCCCCTGGCTGCCCATAGGCCAAGCGGCCTCAGAAGCTCCCAACATGCAGACCACAGCCCCCAACCTGTTAGGGAGGGAAGGGCTCCTGAGACAGTGAAAGAGTAGCCTTCACAGAAGGTGATCTGCATGTTTGCCAGGGGTGTGCTAGCCTCCCCAGATTTGTTACTCCCAGCGGAGAGCCAGCTGGAAAATCAAGGCGTATTTTCCTGAAAGTTTGGGAAAAACCATGGGTGTACATTATACACAGGAATGCATTTTACCTAGCAAAATACAGTATTTTAATGAGTGGCAGACTGCTTTCCAAGACGCATTTGTAAGCAATCCACACTTGTCATTTAAGGTAAAGAAGGACTGGTTAGAGATTGAGATTAAACTGCTCAAAAAGCCAGATGAGAGGCTCGGCTCCTATAGCTCAACCGGCTAAGGCGCCAGCCACGTACACCTAAGGTGGCGGGTTCGAATCCCCAGCCCGGACCCGCCAAACAACAATGACGGCTGCAACCAAAAAATAGCCGGGCGTTGTGGCGGGCACCTGTGGTCCCAGCTACTTGGGAGGCGGAGGCAAGAGACTCGCTTGAGCCCAAGAGTTGGAGGTTGCTGTGAGCTGTAATGCCACAGCACTCTACCCAGGGGGACAGCTTGAGGCTCTGTCTCAAAAAAAAAAAAAAAAAAAAAAAGCCAGATGAGATACTGAGTACAGGATGAAATCAGGAGGTCAGGCTATACGTAATGTAAAATTGGGGCCACACAGTCTGCCAAAGTCCTGTAAGGCATGTTAACCTTTCTGATTACTGTGCTTGAGTGCAGTAATTGATAGCAAGCTGCCTCAGTAGAAGAACTTAAAAACAGACTTTTCAATTATATACTTCTAGTAACTAGTTAGACTATTTGGTTGTAGTTAGGAGTTCCGCTGCTGCACAATGGCATAATCGTCACTGTTCTTTAGGTTTGTTATTAGTACCTATGGTCATTACAATCCTATTCTGCAAAGAGAATCTCCTGGATAATGGAGTTAAGGCTCCCAAGAGTTTGCTGGCTATCACAGTCTATTATCAACTTGTGGTCCCTCACTAAGTTTTTAATCACTATATAATAGATTTATAGACTTATTCAACCATGCTTCAACTCATCATTGGCAAGAAAGGGAACTGTAAGAAATTAAGTCTTATCTATCACACAAACTGTCATTTAAATTAGTAGATTTAATATCTTAAAGTTTCTGGGCAGCCAATGGTCCCCTATACTAATCAAACCCTAAGACTATTTACTAAGGATGTTCAATATTTAAGAAAAAGTAAATGGCACAAACAGCTTGATATTGCTCCATGCATTGCTTCTGTCACACAATACAGAACATGTTTTCATTCTCTCTCTCTTTTTTAGAGAGCTAAGATCTCACTCTATGGTGAGGCTAGCGTGTAGTGGCACCATCATAGCTCACTACAGCCTCAAAGTCCAGGGCTCAAATGATCCTCCCTCCTCAGCCTCCCAAGTAGCTGGGACTACAGGTGCATGCCACCATACTCGGAATGGGTATGCTTTCAATGACAATTCAAGAGTAGCTCAGAGCCAACACTGACATACACAACATAGATGATGATGATAATCTGTTAATAATGGAAAGAATTTAGGTGTTAACTAAGTAAATCTATAATAAGCTTTCTTATTTGTATTTTCTTTGTCTTTTTCCTTGAACGAGTTGACAATGAATATACCCATGATATCTTAGAACATTAGCCTGTGATACCAGAGATAAGAAAAAAACATCTCAACAGTCCTCTTCAATTATAAACCTTGACATGCGTGTTGGTTACCACCACAATAATTTAATAATTCTTCATAAATTTCACTTCAGAACTAAATGCTTCAAAAATTACAATAATATCCATTATCATATATTCCTCTTACATTTAGCATACATTATAATGGAAGGCATACTGATCACTACATAATCATTATCATGTATTTCCTAATTTTGGAGTAAAAATCATCTCCTTTTGGTGGCTAAATTCAGTAGTTATTCTTTCAAAAAGACCTCAGCTACTATTCAAGCCACGAAGATATGGGAGAAAAGAAAGTAAGGCAGCAAGGGAACTCATTCAACTTCAAGGATGTTCAGCAGAGTTTTCCTAGAACTATTTCTTCTGAAAGTTTACCTACTACTCCAGTTTTGGTAATTATAAATAGGAAAAGAACATTTCCCAGGAAGATACTGATCTAATACCATAATATACTTAGGTGGGGATATGAATTATTTTTTGGTATGTCTTAAATCACTGGTAAGTTCATAAAAATTTAGTAAATATATAGATTAAATTAACAAACATTCAATTCAGTGTAGCAAACATAAAATTCTTGACAGGTTATTTAAATGAGAATTCAAAGTATTAATAACAATAAATACTTAAAGCAAATACTAAGTTATCATCCCTTTTGGCAACTAGGACAGGATTTAGAGCTAAGAGTAATATAGGAATGAGAATATCCTTCTATTAATAGTTGTGAAAAAGAAAACAAGCCAGCCAATACCTGTCATGTCAGCCTTCAAGACTTCTGCCTGCCTAGATGGGAAAAAAAAAAACATGAGTTAGAAACAAAATAGGCCTAACCAACACAAGTAACACTAAAAGTTAAATGAAATAATATACTACAGTGAGGATGTATAGCAGCTATATTTGGGGTACTGCAAATAATGTCCCTGCTTTAATGTCCAGGGTAGCACTAGGTCTTGGCAAACTGATGTCAATATGTAAAAGTTTAGAGGATCATCAGTGACCTCTTCTGCTAAGTAGAGTTCACTTTCTTGCTGTTTTCCTCCAAATCTAATTTAATATTTAAATTATATTCATTAAATTAAAAAGTGTACCTTAATGCTGTTAGAGGTTCTACTATGTTTCTCAATTCAATAGTCACCGTAACTATTTTAAATTTCTACTCCTCTCAAGCTACTGAATCCTGCTCCCCTTCATTACCCCAAATAATAGTCCCAAACCTCAGAGAAAACAGTTCCTACTTACATAGCCGTCTTCTAACTTTCTCTGGTTGAAACAGTAGAGCTATTGCACCTCTTGTTTAAGGCCAATAATTCCACTTTGGTATGCTCTTTCTAGACTTTCTTAAGGATTTTTTCTTTTGATTAACCCCTCCCCTTTCAATTTTAAAACTTCAAAATTAGATCCTTAAAATTTTCATTTAAAAACTTTCTGCCTTTCATTCCCCTCTAACTGTACCCTTTTTTTCCTCTCTCAAATTCATTGAGATTTGCCTGTATTAAAAAGGTCCAAAACAGAATTCACGACCCATCCCCTCCCCTCATCCTTAATTCTCTTTCTAATGTTTTCTCACCTTAGCAAACATATCATGGTTTTCCAGTTGTGGAAGGCAAAAACCTGGAAGTCAATTATTCTCCTAAGCCCCTAATAGCATCTATCAGTTCCAGAAAATGTTATCTACTAAATATATCTTGAATCTGAGGATTTCCTTTCATTTCTTCTTCAGCCATTCAAGTGATAGTCATTCGCTGGCTGCACTTTTTTTCCTACTTCACTCTTGTCCCATTTCATTCTGCTCTCCTACTGCTGTCAGAGGAATCTTTTGAAGTATCTTACAAAATTCTATAGTCTCAATGACCTTTCATTCTGTCCCCAAGTTGCAAGGTTACAAAGTATATATTTTACTATGCTTTCACGTATTAGCTAAAACTTCATACTTGAGTATATACAGGATACCTTATACTTTGAATCATGCATCTAACAGTTGTTTTCTCATTCCCAACAAGATGTGTCTTATAAAGATGAGTAACATTTCAGTATGCTAACATGCACCTACAGAATACCAATTTCCAGTCACTCAAAGATTACATGGAGTATACAACAGGAACTTTCTATAGCCTTCTTCTCCCAGGGGCTATTTGCCAGCTGATGAACCATGATTCTTACAAATTCTAGAGCAGGCTTTCATTAACAAAGATCAAAATTTATTCCATATTTTTATAATAATATGCTATAATTTGTCCAAGAAAATTTGTAAAACTAAAAATTCAAACATTAATAGAAATAGAAAAATGTCTTAAAAACTATTTGACATAAATGTTAAAGCATTTTGAAATTCTAGGAGTTTGAAGTGCTCAGTATGACAAGAATAGAGATACTTGCTCATTTTGTGCTGGTCTTTCCTAGGTTCTGAAAGAAGCACAAGTTAACAACTAAACTAACCTTACTAAATTGAATTTATAAAAAGATAGTTAAAGGGAAAATATAACAACCCTAAGGAGACAGCTACAATTGTTCCTATTTTATAAATGAAAAAATTAAAGCTGCAGGACATAAAAAAATTTGTCCATAGTCAGGAAATAATCAGGTACAGTTAGGTAAAAAGTCTGTTCTGACTCCAGGGTCCAAGTCATTTCTATTTCTTTCAAATTATAGTAACAAAATTCTATGACATAAAAAGCTAACATGGGCTTATCTAGGTTCAGTTCTGTGCTCTATCAATTAAACATTAATTTGCTAGCACAAATTAAAAGATTTATTCATAAAGGAAATAAACTGTATCTGAAAATTTTATGAAAAAGATTATAAGAAGTAAATTTTATAGTCTAAAGCAGTGGTCAGCCTGCTGATGAAATTTCCTTTCACCTTAGTCACATCCGTTCATTTCCATGTCTATGGCTGCTTTCAGCTATAAGGGCAAAGCTGAACAGTTGCGACAGCAAAAACATGGTCCACCAAGCTTAAAATATTTACTACCTAGCCCTTTTATAGAAAGTGTTTGCTGTCTCCTGCTTGAAGGCCTAGCCTTGATCAAAAGAATGAGAAATAGTTTGTAAGTTCCCAAACCAAATTACAGTTATGAGAAATCAAACAATAGTGTCTTCAGAGTAAAGAAAGATGTTTTTATAAGTTATTATCTTAATCTTGTCACAAAGAAGACTATATTAAAAAATATACCCTCAAATAATCCAGAACAGTTAATGCTTGTAGGCCATGCCAGATTTTTGACAGGTCTGGTAAACTCTTTATAAAGGCTGACTTATATACTATTATCCACTAACTTTTTTGTGTCCAAAACATTCTTCACATAGGTGGGAGGATTAAGCTAGTAGTTATTAGCTCACAAACGAAATCCCTACCTCTAAACAATTATTACCTTTCCTTTTTGTTATAATGTCAATGAACAAGAAAACAAATCAATAGACACATTATCTTATAGAAATGCCTTAATAAAGATTAGCACAAAATTAGGTATTTCATTATTTTATATGATAAAAAAATACTACACTTTCACTGTCCTACTGGTTTTGTGAAATACAGTCACAACCACAGATAAACGCTACAGTTTATAGACAACATTTATATAGAGAGACAAGAATTCTAAAATGTTTTCTCTTAGTAGATAGTGTAGCAACATGAAGAATGAATTAAGAATCCAAGAATTAAAATCACCATGCTTTTGGGCTGGAAGTGGGGGTGTATGAGATGCTGTCTCTACCAAAAATAGAAAAACTAGCCAGGTGTTGTGGTGGCTATCTGTAGTCCCAGCCTTGGGAGACTGAAGCAAGACGATTGCTCAAGCCCAAGAGTTGGAGGTTGCTGTGAGCTATGACACCACTGCACTCTACTCAGGGCAACAAAGCGAGACTATCTCAAAAATCAATAAATATAAATAAATAAATAAGTCACCATGCCTTTAATTATAAAATAACATTGTTATAGTTATAAAACAAAGTTTTCAAAATTCTAAATATATTGTCTTACTTAAATAATAAGAGAAATTAAGCACTTTTATTAGCAATAAAAAGTCATTAAAAGGCTGAATAAAATCTGAAACATGCGGTGACAGTCAAGTAAGTTGAAAGCTAACGACCAAAATAATACTCTTTTTTTTTTTTTTTTTTTTGAGACAGAGCCTCAAGCTGTCCCCCTGGGTAGAGTGCCGTGGCATTACAGCTCACA